GATGTTGCCACCAAACGTTCCTCTCAGGCCTTGCTGTTTGGGATAGTAGAACTCGTCGTTGGAGAGGTTCCAGGGATCTTTAACTTCAGGTTGGGACATGTTCTGTGATAAATAAATAAAATAAAATAAAAAAAATGTCATGTTACAACTACTGACTTTGTTACACTGGAATTTAGTCAGCGGCGTTAGCGTAAAAAGTAGATAAATGGAAATAAACTCAATACATTCCAGATGTTTATAAAAGACATTGAAAGCCATGTACTTGTTCCAATCTGGTTCATAAAATTCCCCAAAACTATGAGAAAGTTTGATGCAACATCGCACCAAGTGTGACAAAACTTATTCAGTATAAGTGTGTCATCTTCCACAAGCTGGTCCAAGTTAACACAGCATAGAAAAATCCTAGCTAATGCTCATTTATAGGGGTAACTAGTGTTTTTCCTTAAATCCAACACCTTTACCATAGATATGTATAGTCCCATCTGTTCTGATATTACAAAATGTGTGGTGTGGCAAATACGGTAATTTTAGGTTGTACAATTTCTGTCTGCTGTGATGGAGTGATATACCTGCTGTGGCTCGTCTTTAATCACGCCGGTCTTCCCCAACAGAATCCGACTCTTCTTGATTGCCGTCTCCTTCTTATTCTCCTTTGACGGCGAATGAGACGTCGCCTCCTCCTTTTCGTCGGGGATTTCTAGATGACACAGGAGCTCGGTAAATATCCAACCAAAGTTTAGCATGTTTCGCAGAAGCTGAGATCGGTGAGGTCACGGTTTCTAATTCACCTAGTATTATATTCTCATCGTTGGGATCCAGTGTGAGAACCGGCGGCATGAGGAAGCGGTCCATCTCCTGGTCGTCCCAGATGATGTTGTCTTCCCAGCGGCCGTACACCAACTCCTCGTTGTCAATGGGGAAAATGGAAAACCACGAACAGTCTTCTTCTAGAGAGGCTGCAAGGAGGCAGAAATAAACAATAAACATTAACGTGGAAACTGCACTTAACAGAATGACTGTGCAGAGGAAACTAAAAGGACACCTTGATTGTCGTGGCTGCTTTTTTCCCGCTTCGAGCCAGAGATCGAGGAAGCTTTTGGAATAGGTGGCGGTGTCGGTGGGACCAGCTGGGAATTGCTCCGGGTCAGACCTGAAGGATTATAAAGTTTATGATTTATTCCCTTTTCATGGAACGTGGTGGTGTTGAGAGATTTTCAGCAAAAATAAAAAAAAGCAACTTTTTTTGTAAGATTACGAGGTTTATTTGTGCATCCAGGCGTCTATTCTCACCCTGCTGGGCATTATAAGCGTTAGCATTCCGGGTCATGCTGGAGGGGAGCCATCCTGCCAAGCTGGCCTTCTGAGTCTTGGTCCCCTTGTGTTTCACGTCTTCTCCGTTCCAGATGATGTCGTCCTCCCACTGCAGCTGAGTGACCATTAGGAACAGTTCGTTCTCCAGAACCCGCCTCACTTTATCTCCGTCGCCACCGTCGTCATCATCGACATCCATGCTGTCGTCTTCCTTCTGAGCCTGGGGAAATGTAAAATGGAGAGTCACCACGAGCCGCGTAAGTGTCATCCTCGTCTGTGGAAACAAACCTCTTCAGGAGGTTCTGCTACTTTTTTGGGCAGATCTTGCTCTTCAGCCTCACTGGGCTCATCTTCTCTGAGTTTGAACCCGTAGTTGAAGTTGCTTCCGTCCTCAGGTACTCCCAGCATGTCGTACCAGAGCTGCGCCGGACCGTATCTCCATTCTGCTACTTTAGGTCGAGACTCTGTCTCTTTGTCCGCGTCTCCGGACGTCTGCGAGAACTTTGACTCCACTGGAGCCATCATGGTTATCTAACAACGGGTAGAAAACATGCGAAAAACATGTTTTAAACATTTAGAAAGAAGTGACAAACCACAGTGAAATGGATCTTTCTTTATTTTTGAATGTGTGCGCATCTATCTATAATCAAAAACAACCGATGCAACTGGAAGTTAAGAATAATACTTAGACATTTTAATTCAGGTTTTTATCCTTTAAGATTCAAAATAACTCTTGAAACATTAAAAAAAAAATTTTTTTTTTCCATCCTTAAAATAACTTCAAAAATCATAAAAGCGCTCAAAAATTAAGAATAAACTACAAGACCGTGTAACTCGAAAGCTTTACCTCGTCGTCAGAGAGACAGTGTTCTGGGGGTGGAGGGAGTGCGTACTCATAAATCCATCCGGACTTTTTCTCCTGACTTGGTTCTGAGGCATCTTCCTCTGGCGGAGGAGTCCCTGGCTGAGGGTCTCTGTGTTTCCGCTTCTTCTTCCTGCGGGCGCTCCTCCAAACTGAAGGCATGTTCTTACCAGGACCGAACAGCCGTAAAAACCTAAGAACCTGACATTAATAAAAATAAAATTAAATTAAAAAAAACTCTTAGACTATGCATTTCATTTAAATCTAGCTTAAAAAAAAGACTCAAACAGCATCAGATTAATTTTATGTTTGAAAACTGATTTACCTTGCCAGGCTTAAACTCTGGAAAGAGTTGTGTGACACTCGGTAACGCCTTGGCAGCATCCTTCTGCATGATGCCCGCAAGAGGAAGGGTGAGTCTGTCCGGAGGCCCTAGAACTCCCGAACCCTGGCAGGGCCGCTCCGTCTCCGACTCAGAGTCTGAAGAGCTGCTGAAGTCTACCTTATCAGCAGCGGAAGACGGTGCAATAATGGAGGGCAAGATGATGCCATCGCCCTCTTCCCCAACTGCCAATACAGAGGAAAATTGAAGGCGGAGTAAAGTAGTAATCCAGTGTTCAATAGGTGAAAGACAAGCACAGGTTTTTTGTTTGTTTTTTTTAACAGGCAGCATTTAAAAATATATTTTACAATTTCTTTTTACCATTTGTACCGGTGGGCGATTCTTCTTTCTTAGCTGAAGTAAGAAGACTAGGTGGTGGTGGAGGAGGCATAAGCTTTGAGTCAATATCCTCACAGTCGGCATCATAATCATCCTCATCATCTAGGAGGAAGGAGATTAAAAACGCAGTTACACACCAAAAAATAGAAAGTAAAAGATAAGGTTAAGAAAACAAACAACAAGGGTATCGTACAACCGGAAATTTGGTTTTTAATGCCAAAAAATGACATGTCAGAGCAGAATGTCTGCTGAAACACAATCCTAAATCCTAAATTGGGATTCACCTGTTTTCCTGCTGGGCTGCAAAGACCCCATCGCCTGGTGGTACTTTTTAGTCTCATCCTCAGCAACCTCACTGATGTCAGAGTAGTCCACTGCATCATCTGTGCTTTTCACCCAACCTGCAATAGGAGATACAAAAATATATGGTAAATATACCACATGTGGTTGCTGGTCATAGTCTTGCCAAGCGCTACCATCATACATACTCACCCTCTGAATCCACGCTTACAGATTCTCTGTTTTCCTCCTTATTCTCGCTCTCATTGGCCGTGATCTCGGTGATGAGAGAGCCCAGACCCAAAGTCCCCAAACCAGCAAGATGCTTCTTGGACTCCTGGAGCATGACGATAAGCAAATCAGAGACAAATATTCCCTAAAAACTGGAAAAAATACTCACACACAGAGTATATATAATATTGTAACAAGAAGTCTTGAAAAGGCTCACATTGTCCAGAACACTGTCTCCCTCTAACTGCCCATCTTCATTGATGTTTCCAAACAGAAAGCCAGTGAGGGAAAAGGGTCGGTCCTGGTCTTCATCGCTGTCTGAATCAGACATCCTGCAATAAGAGTAATGACATTATAAACACGCTATCAAACCTCCTCAAACTCTGTCAGGTACTCAGCTAAACCGATGGTACGTAAGCTATGCAACAATGACTACGTTTTACACGTAAATGTTCACGTTACAAGACCTATACTGTATTTAGTGAAGGGAATTATGTTGTACTTACCTTCTCTGGTTCTTCTTGAGATTGTGTATGTTTTGTTTTGGTATTTTCACTGCATGCTAACACAGGCAGCTAAGCGCTAAAAGATTTAGCTAACGATGGTTAAACTCAAAAAGCAGTAATACGTAAGCTAAAAGCTATGTTACTTTGCATATTTCCCCCCGTGCTTAGGTTAAATTGGCCAGGTTATGATAAATAATGTTAATGTATTTAACAAAACCGCGACACAACCCGATTAAATATGAAGTTTTGTTTTTATTTTTGCAACACAGTGAAGCTATCCGTAAACGAGCGGAAACCTCGCCGCGACCCGGATGAACAGCGTGACGCGTTTACGGGCTACTCGGAAATTTGTCGACAGCTAAAATTTCTGTTGAAACTCAAAGAGTAAACTACTGAAGTAAAGAATATGTTCAATAAAGTTAAATAAATAAATAATGTTTGATGGACTCGACCCATTTCGCCTGTCAGAAATTGTGTATTTGAGTCTGGTTTGTGGGCCATTTTGGTATGTGACGTCCACCCCAAAGCAGCTTCTTTACCGTTCTCATGCCACTTTGCAACTAAGTTAATGGTATTCTTGGAAACATTGTCCGTTTGTGCCCAATTTTTAACCTTCTGCAATCAGTTTTAGGTTGATTTTCGAGAAATGGCTTCTGCCTCTCTGAGTGGCGGTGGAGGACTAGCTCAGTGACACCCTTACCAGCATCTTTACAAGACTTTTGCTTTTGTTCTGGGGTCAGTATGCTTTTCAAACTTAACATGTTCATCTCTGGACCACAGAACTGTCTTCTTCCCAAACGATAACACCTATTTGTCATATGGTATATGAAGCATGGTTAACAAAGCGTTTCTAAAGGTTTTGAGTAGATACTGTTATCAAAAATGCTTCAACTTAATTTATTTTATATACATTTTAGGTGTAAATATCTGTACACCTCTAAATAATTTGAAATGTCAGGTATAGTCGTACAAATCATAAAAAAATGACTGTTTTAAATCCAACTGTCATCGGATAGCTTCATATTATCTATGAAGTTAGATAGCTAATAGAAAGTTAGCTAGCTAATGATCAAGAAAACAAGCATACAGCAACAGTTTAGCCAGTTTAATAGTTTCAAACACTTGAGTTTGAAAAAAGTACAAAAGTGATCCTGAACGCCACAGTATGAAACCAACCCAGTAATGTAGGGTGATAGGTGTGTTCCTTTAAAAAGCATTTTCTACAGACAAGTGTATTTCAACTGGCCATACTATACACATAATGTACTCACTAAAACAGATAGAAGCAATGGTTTAAATACAATGGCTGAGCCCAGAAATACATTTAAAAGTTATCCTTAAAAAAAAAAAGTAATTAAAAATAAAGAGGAGAAAGAAGTCTCACCACAACATCATTCTGGTCTCTGGCAGTAAAATCATGCAGTGTTACAACTGTTCCAGTACAGAGGACCAGTAAAGCACTACAGCTGTCACACAGTGAGAAAATGGGAGACCAAAAGGCCTCAGACAGCCATTCAGAGCGCTCACTGGTTGTTTTTCTTAGACAGTCCAGGGAGTTCTCTGCTGTTTGACGGTCACCCAGTCGGCATTTGCATACATTGTAAAGTTTCACATAATTTCTGTTAATGAGAGCTCATCTTGCATCCACTTAGAAAAATATAACTGATGATTGCTATTGAAGAAACCCCCAGAATGTGGGCTATTGTCCCAGTATGCTGAGGAAAAACAAAACAACAACAAAAAAAACCCGCTAAGAAATACAGCTGAATAAATAAATGCATGACATCTATAAAATCAAGAGTCACCAGAATGCTCTCCACATTAGCACACCAAGCTTGTTTTGTTTTGGCCCGGCAGTGTTAGAAACAAGGGCTTCATCCTCCACGGCATCTAAAGTCGAAGCCCTCGAGGCAATTGTTGCCACGACACACCTAAAATACGCTGCTTTTTAGAGAATGGTTTCTTGAATGCAACAGCTGGTTTCCTTTTACAGCATGGCTTCTGGCTTCGGCATCGCAGGAAGCAATCAAAGTAGATGGCAATGAGGAAACACAGGAGGGAGACTCTCACAGTGTTGCGAGAATGAAGCCGCTCTTTGTCGTTAGCCGCAGACCGGCCTATTGTTAGGGCAACAGCAGTGAGCTTCCTGTCCGGTCAAACTTTTTGCCCTTCGAGAGGGCGGCCACTTGTTTCATCAGCTCCCTGTTCTTGGACTGTGGAAAGACACAAACAGTGAAATCAGAGTGGATACATTTCTTTCCAAATCTGGATGTGACTCAAATGTGATGTGCAAATTCAGTTATAAGAACAAACTGCTCATTGCTTTCCTCATTGTATTCATAAAAAATATATTGTCAACAATAATTTAACGATGTATCGCAACACGTACAAGTCGGCTCTGATAAAGACAATTAAATAATTTTGCATTCCATAAATCTGTCAAAGTTTGGGAATCCAGATAATTTTCTACTTCCTTAGTGTTTTGTTGAATTTAAGTTTACCTCCATCAAAAAGCTAAACTTTGTTTGCATTTTGTCTGGTCAAATTTCTATGGAAAACTAAAACCTGATCACTGTGTCCAACCCTAACAACATTCAGATTTTTATTTTATATTAAATAATGCAATCTGATAGATAGTGACAGTAATAAGATTTATGTTATCCAACTGATGAGAAGAATTTCAAACTATGTTTCTTCACCTCTTCCTCCCCTCCAAGTCTGATCTGGTGTAAACATCACTCCCTCACAGACAAAAAAAAAAGTTTTTTTATAAAAACTAATAAAGTACAGCTGAATTTTTAAACTATTAATGCCTATAATCTATGATAAAATGACAAAAAAAACCTTAGACATTTGTCAAAGTGTGAGAATAAAGGGCAACACAATGTTGAAAATGTAAACCCCTTTGTTGCACATGTGGATTTGAGACGCAAAGCTTAAAAATCATGTACACCAGCAAGTTGGTAACTGTACTGAGTTCTGAGTTCAGCTACTAAAAACCATGTTCCAAGTTTTCTTGGAACATGTTAAAAACAACCAAAACAGCAGCCTAAGATCAAATCATTCCAGAGCGCGGTCGTACACCAACTACCCCACCTGCTGCTGCTCCATGGCCTCTTTGTGTGATTTCTCCATTTGGTTCATCTTAACTCTCATATTTGACTCCTGGTACTGAAAGTCTGCTTTAAGCTCTGTGAGCTAGAGGGGGGAAAAAAATGCAACATTTAATTAGCAGATAAAAAAAAAAAAAAAAGAGAGCAGAAACTCAGAGCTTTGACTGAATAATTAGTGCTGGAGTTCATCTATGGAAGACGACTCACCTTTCGATCCTTCTCCAGGATGGTCTGATCCCTCTGCTGAAGAAGCCTCTTTAGCGACATAACTTCCTCTTTCAGCTGGCTGATGAGAATGAAGTTGTCTGTTCCACCAGAGTCCATGGACTGGGTGATTGAACTACTGTTGGGATGAACAAGCAAACAAATAATAAATAATAATAATAATAATAATAATAATAATAATAAAAAAAGCTCCTGAACATGTGGGACAAATATTATGCAGCTATAAAGTCGAGCTTAAATGACAATGCTGGGGCTACCTGTCCCCGTTGGATGGCTTCAGCTCCAGTTTTGGTTTCTTCTTTGGAGTCTCCTTCTGGATTGAAGACGATTTATGGCTGCAAAAGAAAAGCAAGGAGGAAAACTAAACTGTGAATATTTAAACATTATTTTAATGGCTGTTGTATAAACTTAAACTTGAAGTTGCTGTACCTCTGTTTCCACAGTCCCGGCTCCTGTTCAGGACTCAAGCTCCCACTCAGTCTGTGAAAGATGGGTAAACTTAGCAAACTGCACTTCATGGTATAAACATTTTACTCCAACTATAGTAAGAGAACAATTTTCAGACAAAAAATACTGACGATGGCTGAAAGTTAGCCATTTTCAGGACTGGCGAGATGTCTTAAAGTGAAGCACAGATATGTAAAAAAAAAAAAAAAAACCTATTTAAAAGAAAACGTTCTGCCATTAATTCAGGTTGAAAGTGAATAAGTAAAAAATAAAAATCTAAAGCAGATAACAGGAAGTCTACAACAAAGTTGCTTTAATTTTTCAATTGAGGTTTTCAACAGCTGTCATGAAGCATGCCGGTTTTGGAAAAGCATCATAGTTAAGATAAAGATCTACATTTGCTAGCAAATACACAAAGAGATTGGAAGGCTAGCCACGCTAATCTCTAACATAATATGAATTACTGCCTTATAATTTTGTTTTTGTCTCTGTATTCATTGTATTTACATTAAAATATTAGTAAATCTGTTTTCAAGTCCACACTCTCTCAAACAAAGTGGTGCAACATCGACTCTGGTCTTCATAAGTACTGAAGAAAGACCAGAAAATAACACTGTTTTAAATGCTATTCTTATTTTTCCCTAAGTTTGGGGAGAAATCAGAATCACACACAATCGAAATCTTGCAGGTGAAAACATTTGCGAGGACTGGACACAAAGTTCAGATTGGTGAATCTCTACTGACTGGAAGCGACAACTTGTGGCAGACATACTTGTGGTGGGAGCTGCTGTGTCTGTGCTGGTGGTGCTGGTGGTGGTGGTGATGATGGTGGTGATGCGATCTGGAGTGGTGGTCTTTCTCGTTCAGGGATGAGGAGTTGGAGGAGCCGAAGCCCTTCCTCTGTTCTTTAGTCTTCTGCAGGACGCGGCGGTAGGACAGCGTGCAGAGCCAGCACAGCAGCTTGCCGTCCACCTGTAGCGCAAGCAAGAGAGAGCAGGCGGTGAGACTCCGCCCGTGACGAACGTGCCGCAAGCTCAAGACTGGATATCTGCTCTGGTTTTCACCTTTCTTCTGCCTTCCTCCTTGCGGTCGAAAGCGCACTGCTGCTTGCACTGTTCGCAGGTCTGTGGGGGTCCATATTTCTTCTCCGAGTTAGTACACCGCTGGCATTTTGTCCCGATGAAAGCTGCAATTATGTTACAATACTGGCAGGGTTTGGGCTGCAAAAACAGATGAAGAAGAACTTTTGAAAACAGGATGTGGACACGAAACAGTCACAGGCAATTTCAGATGGTTTGGGAGCACTAATTTGTGTGAAAACTAATTTGTAAGATTCTACTACTCACCGTTCCGAACTGTTTGACGTTCTGGGCACATTTCTTGCAAATTGTATTTGTTTTACTGTAGAGGAACAAACAGAGTTTGAATCCACAAAAAATAAAAAATCCCAAATAAGACATAATAGAAAATAGTGGAGCCCTTCTCACCTCTCCTGCTGAAACTCAGATCTGCAGTATGTACACTTCACTATTGGGTGTGCAATACGACACTCCTGCAAAAGAAAGAAAAAATAAGTACAGAAGCCTCCAGTTATTGGCACACTTGGTATAAATACATGTAAAAAGCTTTAAAATAAATTCAGATTGTTTTTATGTCGAGATGCATTTATATTTTCAATCTGATGGAGAATGTCTCATAGATTCTTGATTGTATCCATTTTCTTATTTATTAATCCAGATCGACAAGTCAACCTTAGATGAATGGCATGCTCTCTTGTTTTCCCCATTTTGGAGAATTGCAAGGAGGCACAGAGTTTTTAATTTAACTTTTTTTAAACGTGAGATTCTGCTAACGCACATTACAATATAAATTTATTTTATTTAACATCTGTACCGGGAATGCCAATATTTTTTATCTCATACACAGTTAATTTCCCCCTCCCTTTTTTCTTTTGTGACTCATTATCACAGGAGAAATTGTTTACTTGTTTTAAGTTGGCATCCTTCAACTTTATAAAGACAGTATGGCAGTCAATTAATGATTTAATTCAGTTAGAAACTTTAAGAGCAGTTAATTCAGAGGTGATTAGGGGACTTTTTTCTTCTTTTTTTTTTAGTCTGAAACATTAATTTGTAGAAGCTAATTAAGGGCATGTGGAAATTATAAGGCTTAAATGTGACTTAAAAGGCCTTTAATTATCAGCTGTACCACCATACAAGCAACACCACAGGAGCAACACGTCTGAATAATATGTACAGTAAGTGACCAGTATAACAAGTGTTCAGCAGGTCAGGGTGTGGTAACACCGCTATTAAATCTACAATAAAATGAACATTACGTTCATGTGGACGTTTTCCAACTTGTTACATAATCTGAGCCCTTGCTAAATCTCTCCAAGGTGGCCACAACCAAACAATCCGCACACAACTACACTCCTAAGGTCGTGATTGTTTGGGTCGTCCTCCCTCTCATGCTCTCCAACCTTGCAAAGCTGCTGGCCCTGCGACAGCTCCTCGAAGGGGTACCGCTGGTTACACTTCGTGCAGGCGTACAGAGCCGACGTTGCCATTCTCGCCCCAACCTGAGCAGTCGTCCGACCTAGCCGAGGAACACCGAGGTCCAGCTGCGAACCGAACGGATTAGCCGCGCTGTTTTCACCGTCAGAGCCGCTCGCTGTTGCTCAACTGAGAGCTGGGGAAAAACACACCGCGTTGGCATCCAGCGCTGGCCGACGCTAGCCCGCTCGGCTACGTAGCGCAGGGCAAATACAGAAATAGCTCAGCTGGAGGGAGCGAGCGGCGAAGAACAATAAAGTCCTGATCTCCAGGCTCTCTCGCTGCGTCGTCCCGCCGCAATGGCTTCTCCTTGGCTTTTAATAGCGTCGCCTCGGAATTAATCCTCATCAACAATGAACTCCGCGGGGCTCAAGTTTCTGCTGTTCTCGCCGAGAAATGTATTTTCCTTGTCTCTTTTTGTGTCATGTAACCGGAAGAGGCCGACAGCTCCCGAAGAAGGAAGGAAACCTATCGCGACACAACATCCGTCCGCGGGATTTGCAGTTTGAAATTAGCTCAGCCAATCAGGGGCCCGCACAAATGTTAACAGTTTTCAATATCCACTACACTTGCGTTAACAGCAAGTTGGCTTGAGTATTTTAAAACGCTTTAAGGTGTTTATATGACTGGAAGCCGTTTTGCAAGCAAAAAAGTGATAACACGGAGGCACCGCTGGATATTATAAATACATTTCAATTTAACCTGAATCTGAAGTTATCCATTCAGGGGAATCCTGGCAAGTTCCAACCATAGTTAAATGTATTTCTTTGTGATTGTATGTGACCAATAAAAACAGAAAAGTGTGGTGAACATTTTATACCCCTAATAAAATCCAATGGGTAACACTTTATTTGAAGGGGGCTGAATAAGACTGTCATGACACTGTCATAAACATGACATAACACCTGTTATGAACATGAATAAGTCTTCATGAATATTTATGACTGTTGTCATAAAGCGTCATTCGGTAAATTATGACACTTTTAATACAAAGTTGACATTATTCGAAATGTCTTTGTTATGACAACTTGACATTAACCAGGAAATCATTACTGTTTAAACTTTACCTTTAATAACATAAAGTTACCTAATTTTTAAAGTACAATCAGTAATACTTCTATAACAAATTTATATATTTGTATATTGGTTAATGTCAAATAAAGTGTTACCATCCAATGTTCCTCAAGAGTTTTGCGAGAGGTCATTAGTGATTAAACAGCATCATGAAAACCAAGTAACACTGCAGACAGATCAGGGAGAAAGTTGGTGTAAAGTTTACAACAATATCCCAACCTTTGCATATCTCACTGGTCACCGTTTAATCTTCAGAAAATCAAAACACGTGCATAAACTGTATGACACAACTACTCACCTACCAATTTAATTATGTAATTATGTGCCAATCTAAAGAATTCAACATTATCCACTCACAAACATTAAAAATGACTCCACAGTGTCCCTTTTTATTAAATAGTTTAATACGGTTTGACATCTGACAGTACACTTGACAATGCAGGAAACAGACGAATAAAGGTAGGGAGCACAGCATAAGGAATGGTGTGGAAGTTTATGACTAATAGTTCTACATTTTAAAGGAACAATATCAGTGACAGAGATGTACACAGAGAAAGATGTAGTGGAATAATAATTAAAGAACAATTAGTTTGTTAGTGGGGATTAGATATTTAAAAGCTACAATGTAGAAACATAACATCAGAGTTCCCACCAATAGAGTCAACCTTTCTTCTTTTTTTTTTCTTTTTTTTACCATGAAAGGCACTTTTTATAAACTAGAAATCATTACTGCTAGTGCTATTAGGTTAGTTACCAAACATTTCAACAGCTTACATATGAGGAAAACATCATGAGGCTGATTAGTGTTTCATGCAAGTGTTTTTATCATCATTGTGCACATTTGAGTTTTTACTCTTGATTTGTACGAAAGGCACAGATTCTAATTATTACACTACATTTAATAACCAAAACAAACCCAAATTATTGCATATCCATTGCAACTTACTGATATCACCCAAAAAAAATTAGATTATGAGACTAAGAGAAAGAGGAAGCTTAGAGTTCATAACAAGTCCATAGTACAGGATAATAAATAATGTTAGCTTCTTAGAGAAATTAAACTTACAAAAGTTGAATTGCTCAGTAAAAGGAATGTCATACGTAGTATCCCTTCTCAAATTAAAACAGATATTTGGTCGCAACAGTCCAACAGGATTGATTTATGAAGACAAAGCAAGTGTTAAAAATGTTAGCATCATTTCTCTTTAGTTATTGGTTGAAACACATATGTACAAACTCAAAGAACACTTGGGTTTTCTTCTGGTTTTTTTGCAGCACTATTTGTTTACAAATTGTGCTGTTGTGCTTTGAAATGAACATGAAGTGGTGGAGTGAGTGTTCCTATGAAGCATAAGGCATAAAAAAAATAACCAAAATGATAACTAGTGTAATTAAAACAAACACTGATTGTGGGTGGGTTAACAGGCATTAAAGTTCTTCTTTATTTTATTCTTTTTACATGCCCTCCTACCTCACAGGACTAGTATTTTATATATGGCTGCAGTCCAGTGATCTCCAACGTAAACACACTCTACCCGAATAGTCACACATCTCTGCCTGTTGTGGTGGTGGTGCATTCGTCCCCTAAAGAGGCGGATCAACACAGAGGCTCTTCTTGGATCCAGTTATGACACTGATTCCTAGTTTTCCAATGTTCTCCCTGGCATAAAAAAAAACACTTTCACGCTTTCATAAAGACATTGAGTGTCAAACAAAGGTTTGCACGGGAGTGATGGAGCGAGTGGGTGAGCCTGCCCTCTCCGAAGACGATGAAGCAGAGCGGTTCGTCACCTCCCTCTGGAGCTCGTTCACTCTCTTCTGAAGCTCGGCTCGCTTCGCCAGCAGCTCTTTGTGGCGCTGGTGAATAGGTTCCTTGTCGAAGATGGACAAAAGAAGCCTACATTTTCAGCTTTGGAGCACTTGAGAAACAACTAACAGAGAGAAGATTTCATGATATACCTGCGGTTTCATGCGAGGGTTCCAGCGGATGTAGTAGCCAGACCAAAGCTCCAGGTGGCGCAAGCTGATAACGGGGAACAGCACCTGGTTTGAGTAGTTCACATACATTGGATTGGTGAACTCCTCCAGCTGGCTGTTAATGTAGGACCACACCGAGACCGTCCTCTTGGGAATCTCCTTTAAGTTAAGAAGAAAAAACAACCGCATTAATGTTTCTGCATCATCTTGACTGTTTTTATTATTTGTTTAAAAGATCCTGTCCCCGTCACACTATTGTGAATCCGCGTTATGATTCTATAAAAAAAAATATACGTGAATTTGCTGAAAGCTTCCAACTTAATAAAACTACTTTATTTACAATTTATTTAAATGCGTAGGTTTTGGACAGGTTGCATGTGCATATAATATAATTCACTTTAAAGTCAACTAAAAACAATCAGAATCTGTTTTATTCTCCAAGTTTGTGTGCAAAAACAAGAAATCTGCCTACAAGTCTGCTTTGTTCTCCATGGAAACATCTTAAATATGAACGTTTAAGAAGTGAAATCTTGTTTATCTTTTTACTATTGACCTTTTTATGTGTATGGAATAGATATATGATGATGACGTAAAGCTTTTATCTAAACCAGTGGATTGTCCCCCCCTCCCACTTTCTCTTAACCTGGTTTTGCTGCCACTTGCGTCACTTCTTCCTTTTGTATTATTTCCCACCATTTTCTGTCAATGTCAGCATCTCAACCACAAAGAAATATACATAAAGCAGTTAGAGATGCTGACAGCAATTCGATATATTGCACAGTTCCAATTTGCAGGTACAGCAGAGATACAGCCTGCTGAATGCTGGCAACTTCTAGCTTTTTTCTCTGACCATTGTAAAGTAAAACATGGGCTCAAAAATAACCATGATATAATTTAAGAAGGTCAACTGTAATATCAATGAGCTTTGACAATGGATGCAATGACCGAAGGAGGTTCAATCGACCGTTTTCCAGTTAAAAATGTCACTCATCGTAATTTGTGACAACTAAGGCGGGAAAATATGTAAAAAGGATCCCTTTTATAGAGACTTAAGCCACATTGAATTACAGTTTAAGTGAGTAATAAAAGCAAAGGAGGATTACAAAGATGTAAAAACGGTGGCAAAGGCCAGGTGATAATAGTTAACATGCTAATTGGGGAATGATGCGCGTAAAGTGGAGACTAAATTTAGTTTAGAATGTTGAGGAGGTGAACTCTAATCCCGAGTTTGCACTGATCTCAACTAATACATTTTTTACAACTCGGAGGTTTGAATTTTGCGAAAAGCATTGAACTTTAATCCCACACAAGAAGCATAGAGAAAAACTGAGAAAAAAAGGCCTTACTCTCTCCTAACACAATACAATCTGAACATTTTACACTTTTCACCCCCAAAAACATTCATACAAATATATTGAGCAACACACACAAATACAACAGGATTTGATGTTTCACAAAATGTGAAGCGTGTTTTTAGATTTCATAATATATGTGGCAAGGAGTGTGACAGCAACGTCTAGCAGTAAAAGTGACTAAATGCAGAATCAAAAGGGCCCTTACTTCCTTCAACCTTTGCTGTTCACTGTTGCACAGGAATGTCCCAAACAGGCAGCTGTAGAGATGATCCAGGATTGTTACCAGGAAGTATTCGTTAAACTCAAAAGCTGCAGGAAACTTCAATAGTAAAAAAAAAAAAAAGATACATATTATCTTCCAAGCGTCACTTTCTCCACACAGAAATGTCTCGCACGGTCATCCTTCACTTACCTGTCGAGTCAACTGCCACACACAGTCAATGAACTGGATAAAGACAGGTGAGCGGTCTGCATCGCTGTGGTTTTTATCGCCGTGACCGATACGCTGACAAACCCACGATGAGGAAAGTCGGTTATGTATTTTTAAACTACAACATACAAATTTCATTTTTTTAAGGGAGAAAAACATTTCAGTTTACCTGCTGGAAGCGATGTCCAAAACTCAGCCACTCTTTCTCGAGCAGCACTTCGAAGCCGCGGATGGTTCTGTAGTAACCATCCAGCATAAGCAGGGACAGAGAGGTGAGCTGGGCGGTCCGGTCCCAGCCGTCGCTGCAGTGGACCACCACGGACGTTTTCCCAGACTCCACCTTGTCCGCGATCCTCAGCGCTCCGGCCAGGATCAGCTGGAAACACGCCAGCAGAAAAATGAACACAAAGTAGCTAAGAAATGTCATGCGGGTGGCTCGTTTTTGTAGTTAATCCTGCCCACCTTGATGTGTTCGAGCCAGTGAGTGGATTCCAGGTTGGACAGCCAATGGGAGTCCTCGATGTTGGGGTAAACTAAGTCTTTGAGTTTGCGCAGCGACTCCCGCATGACGTGGATGTTGTGGATGTCCAAGAACACGAGCTCGGCGTTCTGATATGCGTCCTCACTTTCATATCCACCGCCTTTCATCTGCAGAGAGGAAGCGAGGAAAAAAAGGTTTTTCCCCCCCCCCTAGCTTTTAACAATCGATTCAAGCTTCATTAAAAACATGGAATCTTTGTGCGTAGCAGAGATTAAAAATAGCAAAAGAACAGATTTTCTCACATTAAAAGGTGATATTTTCAGTTTGCAGTGTAGAAATGAAAACACAATAAAAGGCAATTATTTTAAGACTTTTCACACAGGAGTATAATGTATGTCCACATAATCTTTTCTGCTAATGAAAGAGTGCATGAAATCACTTTTGATCTGCTTAGGAGCTGATAAAATTACTCTCTCGATATAAAAACAGTCATACCTCTAAATTCATACTGCCATTTTTGTAATAGGTTTTGCTTATTTCTAGCAGCTCTAATTATATCCTTCTATAAAATTCAAGTAAAAGCTGCTTTTTAAAGATTCATAATATCGACCTTGTTGGCAGCGGCGTTGACGCTCGGTCTGGCATCGAAAATGAAAAGCTTATGGGACTGAGCATTGGCATCCATGATCGCCTGCAGGTATTTCTCATCCTCCTTGCTGCGCTTCCCGTTCACTCCGACCGTCGGCTGGCTGCAGCGCGTCACTGTGGCCTGGCTCTCCGGGTGGATCCATGACAGCACCTGCCACATGAAGGTCAGGAGAACATCGGCACCGTCGGCGAGACGAAGTCGCGGACGTTCGGGATGGATTACTCACAGGTATCCTGCCTTTCGCTCTAAAAGCTGCCACTCTCTTCAGCTCTTCGTCTGGTATGTTGACCGGAACCACCAGAGTGGATGGGTATGTGTCGCAGAGCTCAAAGTGGTCGTTTACCTTCGTTATCCTCCAGCTTTCATTGGGTATACCCTGAGAACGAAAAAAAAACATCTGTAAGAATGATCCAGCAAAACATGAAAGCTCGGTGCTCCTGGAATTACCTGTCTTTTATACTCCGATATGGGATCGTACACCTTCCATCCGTTTTCAGGAAAAACTTGCCCGTATTCAAAGGCAAAGATTTGCTGTGTAGTGAGGAGGAGAAATGAAGCGGTTGTGCTGCGTCAATGCATCAGCAGCCGTGAGTTGGAGAGCGACTCACCAGTCCGTTGGAAACAGGAAATGCAAATTTCATGAGAACTTCAAAAATTGACTTCTTGAGAGTGTCATCCACCTGCTTGTGTGAAAATCGCAGAATGCGCATGTCCTGCAAAGTAGCAAAAAAAAAATAATTAGCAACAGTAGAAATGTAGGTTTTAAATAAGTGACGTGTGATGAATCATCCAGTTTTCTCTAAGTATGAAACACCAGGTATTCACCTTGCAAACTACTCCATATGATGAGTCAGCACGGCTCGAAGTATTTCCAATTTTTTCCACTCGACTTACAACTCCGAGAGGCAAATCCAGCATAAACGCCGGATCCTAGATACGAGCAACAAAAGAACAAGAATTATTCTTCAAACTACTTAACAGCGTTTTCATCTTTAACATGGTCCACACGCACCTTGTCCATGGACTTAAAGAAAAGCCTGTAGTTGGTGACCATCACTGTTCCCCTCAGTGCTCCAGTGAAAGGACAGAAGTAGGTAATGTCAGGTGCTATTGGGGAAAAAAAACAAAACAAAAAAAAAAACAAGATTAAGCTCAATTATTCAAGAATTTTTTTTAAAGTAATTTTAAGATAATAGTTTACTTTCAGTGCTAGCCCTTTAAATCCCAAGCAAAAAAAGGAAATAAATTACCCATATCTTGCACAGTTTCGTTCGGAAGCAACTGTGGTTCTTCTTTATCTGAGTCCCTATGTGCCTTCTACAAAACATCCAACATGCAAAGCAGTCATTCCATCTCAAATATCCACAGATTTATAGAAATTTTTTAAAATACCCAAATAAATCATGGAGAACTAATGCAACGTTACGTTAACTTTACAAGTTTCACTCAGAGGTTTGAAAAGTTGCTGATTTTGGCTCAGAAACTTATACGATAACATACCTTGGCAGTGGCTTTGGGCTTCACCTGGGGGATGCATAAATGAGGAGAGTGATGCTTTAGTTATGAAAACTCATTTTTATCAAGCTGCAGAATATCAATGAGCTGCACGCAGGCAACTAACCCGGAGCTCAGGGGAAAACTCTGCAGATGTCGACACAGAGTCGGAGGACAAAACAGATGGAGGTTTGGCCTGGGCGGAGCGGTCGGAGCGAGAGGTGGAAGTGCTGAGAACGGATAAAACAAAAACAGAAGACGAGAAGATGATTTAATCTTTCTTCCTTTAACTTAGATTTATGTTTGACGATAAATTGCTGGCTGTATGAATGCAACCAGCCTTCTGCAGCTAATACCCCTTTTGCATCAGATTCATCGAGTTACTATAGATCTGTAGCGCACAGTTAAAAGCTTCTACACCCATACGAGTCTTTCACGTATTGTCACATAACCATGAACTTCAATTAATATTTTTGGATTGCTTTCCTGATCATGAAATTCAGTGTTATCTATTGTGATTAGTTTAAAAGTTCTTAAAAACATTTAACTGTATGTTTGTGCAATGCTGTTATTGTGAATTTATCAATGTCACTATAAATCAATAGTCTTATCAGGACAGGGAGAAATGTTCTGAGATAATACAATAAATGTCCATTTCTATCTAGCAAGTCAACTTTTCCTGTATTCTCAAACTAAGCCTGGTTTTGCTGGAGGTTTCTTCTTGCAAAAATCGAGCGGTTCCTTTCCACTGTCACTACATTATAATGTATTGAATTATAATTAGGATAATTTTGAACTTTATGTATTTGAATATAATGTACACGAAACTGAGCTGAATAAAAAAGCAGGTGGTATCACAGAATCCACAACGCCCATGTCTGTCTTACACACAGTTTTAATTTTAAATTAAATGTTTTACAGAGGTTTTATTGCTTCCATGAGCTTTTATATCAGACAACCAACTGAACTCAGAAACATTAAGAAGAACTGGCACATGCAAGCCAAGCTCTTGTCCTATTGCAATGACATCTGATCGTCTTGTGACAATTTAGGAAGCGGACTTAATTATTGGAGTTTAAACACTCGCTACTAAAATTACACCCATGACACTGGAGGACGGAAACATTAAACACGTTTAAGAAGCCCCTATATTCATTAGTGCATGAATTTTCAGACTTTTACCCACATTTAAAAGCAATAAGATGTGAAGGGTTTAGCTACCTGGACAATGAATCAACACTTGGCTGTCGGGAAGAGGGTTTCGAGCCCAAACTATCGACGCTGCCGCTCTTCTCCATCTTCTCCTGCTTCAAAAGTCTAAGTAAAGGGCAGGACGAGCTCCGAAAACGTGATGTAGACTGGAGTTTCCGCTGAACACCGCTTTTAAATGCTTACTCCCAGCATAGCGAATCCTCACAAACAAAAGGAAGCTGCCATTTTTTCCCAGAAGCCTCCCAATCCCTGTCACAAGCAGGACATTGTGAAGGATGGCGCCCTCTGCCGGTTGTCTGAGATATTAGCAGCCCACTTGATATTTAGATAACATGATTACAAAAAAATATTTTTATTTTATATAACTAGACAGAAATAAAAGGTTAAGGACACTCATTGAGAGATTGTATCAAACTTTTATAAATAATATGGTGAAGTTGTCACATTACAACTTTTTCTGGTAGTTTAATGATGATAGGTCATGAAATAATTTTTTTACAAATTAAAATTTGAAAAGTGTGGCATGCATTTAAATTATTCCCTCATTATTCAGATACCCCGAGCATATTGATTTTTTTTTATCAAGGAACATAATGTCTTTTTATAAAAAGACATAAAATTATTTCCTAAGGGAAAGATTTTAAATTTCACTTCCGTTTGACATTCAACAGAACTATATTTGAAGAGACATTTCACAGGAAACATACTGTGAGCCAAGTAATTGTTTATTGAAATAAAAAATAAACCACAGAAATAAATGTTAAATCACATTTTAAAATGTTTTCACAAAATTTAAACAAAGGATGCACCTCATTTATATACAGCCATTTACCTGTTAACTCTGCAAGGTCTAATGAATTTCAATGGCAGCAGATGCCATCTACCATTTGAGGGTTGTAGACCAAAGATGATACAAATGATCCAATAAAGTACAGAGCAAGTCTTTTACTTTACATATTTTTCCATAAACTTCTTGTGGAACTCTGAGCGCAGCGTATCGTTGACAAAGCGTTTCTCTTTCCGTGCCTCATCCACTCCTTTGGCACAATTTTTAAACACAACATCGTCGTCCCACCTAAAGAGATGATGCATGAGAAGGTTACTGGTGGTGATAAACAACACGCACACACACACAAATGTTTTCTGTCTGAGAAATGTACCTCCTTTTGACTCTAAATGTATTTTGAGCTTGGTTCTGTTGCTGCTGGCCGGCCAAGTTAATCAGGGGATTGCCACTCAAGATATTTTCCATTCGAATCCTCTCTTCTTCTGCCTTCTGCTCTCGCTCCTGAAGTGGAAAACAAACAATAAAATAAAATAAAATAAAGGAACTAAGCCCAAAGAGATGTCATTCAGCTCCTTTCTAACATTTAATGACTGTAAATCCATTTCAACAATAAGCAGAAACACGAGCGTTCAGTCGTTACTTTGCGTTCTTGCTCCTCAGCTCGCTCTTTCTTGATCTTGTCCAGTTCAGCCAGGAGGGCAGCAGTGTCATCATCATCACTGTCTTCCTCAGAGTCTTCATCTTCATCATCCTTAGAAGGATGAAGAGAGAATGAGAAAGGGAGTCCAATGAGAGTTTTAAACAGGACGTTTAAAGTTAGCAGTGAGGTTCACAAATATAACACCATTTATTGTTAAAGTGAACTTTGTTTATTGTCAGAAGAATTTTGATTTGTTGTGAAATCAATAAACTTCAAATCCCACAAACAACAAGTATTGTTAGGATTGTTTTTGCTATATTTTCAAGGGGTGATTACACAAGTAGTACAAAAAGTAACAAGACCTTCAAAACTATGATTTAATGCAGTTATGTTGTGCTGTTTATTGACAATTGTATGAGCAATGACCCATTGTAGCCCATTTAATAATCAGTAAGCTATCTTTAGTGAACTTTTGTTTTAGGAGAGCAGCTTTAACTAGACTGAGATACAAATATATTACCAAAGACGTCTAAATACGATTTATAATCAATTTTATTGGACAAATACAACAAAACATCAAGAGAAACTTTTCATACTTACGTCAGTCAGAGGGTCATCGGCATCAAGGTTTGCTGCTGGGATTTGATCCAGTCTGGGCCTCTTTGAAGATGATGAAGAGGATGATGATGAGGATGTGGTGTGTTCTGGAAAACACAAATACTAATAATTGATCCCGTGCATAAAAAAAACAATTGAATAATTAGGAACTGTATCAGAAATGTAGCCTAAGATTATTATTATTTTTTAAAAACAATAACCTCTGGGTCCCCTCTCTCTGGTCTTGTCACGGGAAACAACACGTTCCCTCTCCTCCAGCTCCCTGCGGAAGTCACGGGCACGCACCTCCTCGGGGGCATCCTGGGTGGGTTGCCTGAGCACCGGGCAGAATTTATTGTACAACAAAAGAAAAGAAAAAAAAACACCACCTAAAAATAACTTACGATGACACAAAGCAGTCTCTTTACTGTAACCTCCTCCAAATGAACACCCAACAGAGAAAGCAAATATTAGATCATTATCCCAGAGGATTTTGCTCTAGCTGTCATGATCGAGGGCATAAGTTGGGAGGTAGATGGACCGATGAATTCAGAGCTTTACCAGTCGATCTCCTTTGAAAAACCATAAAATCTACTCATGAAAATTTTAATTACCTCTTATATTCGATCTACAGACCTGTACTTGATCTTTGTATGACCTGGAAGATCTCGGCTGGAATACTGCTTGGAAAGAGCACTCAGATCTCCCTCTCCTTTCCCCCTGCCTCCTCTCGCAGGCTCAAACGTGGGTCTTGCAGCTGTAGTCATCTTGGACGGCTCTGTTTTATTAAAACGTAACACATTAAATAAATATCTGGTGGCAAAACAAGGTATTAGTTTTGTCTTAAAGTATTTCACATCATCGTTACAATATTCAACGCAACAAAAAAATCTGCATTGTTTGTTAGGATTAATCTAACTGTGATTAGACAATCCTACTAAATTATCAACAGACTTTAGAGACAAAGTTAGCATGTTAGCTAGAAATGCTAAAGACATACCTACAGGCTAACATGGTTCAACAACGCTTCTCTCGTGGACTGTGCATCATAAATGTTCCGCTCAAAGTGAGTGAAAGTATAATATTCTTTTAAATGGTAAGCTGTGTACATTTTTACTCTCTATATGAAACACATGGTTATAAAAAGGCTTTTTCCAAAGGGTGAATACTTACCAGGCTGCTAGCACACGACAAAAGACAGCTTCTCGAATCTGTGTGGCGTCATTTCCGGAATAAACATATAAAAAAAAGGGGAAAAGATGCGTTTATAGACCTCGGACAAAACATATATTTTGATCTTGGCACAAAATTGTATCATCATAACTTTGTGAAATATATTTGTATTTATAAACAATTTTATTTTTAAAATTTAAACGGGTGTCAACAGATAAAAACGAGCCACTTGTCTACTCCAATTTTTTTCTTTAGAAACACTTGCAGTGTTACGGAAGAGACGGTAGAGGGCAGGTATTAGCAGATAATGTATAAACCCTTAAACCTGTGTTGTCATTTACTGCCAAACTGTTTTTAGTGTTCGTATGTAAATGTTCGTCTGGCACAAAAGCTAAATTTTGAAAGATCGAGCCTAAAGAACCAAAACGTACTTGAATACTAAGACATAATCATTCTGCAATCCCAGAAAGCAGGTCTTTCTAGATCAAAATTTAATTCTTAGACGTACAGCACAAAAGCTGCCACTTATTTTGAGAAAACATAATTTATAATTAAATTGCTATTTGGGAATCTGAAATGCAATATAACTCTTCAATTGTTTTTTTCTCTTTTTTGACCGCCTTTGTAGTACCTCATAAAAAAAACAAACTTTATTTATTACGGTTTACATGTTTTCCCACTACAAAAGTTTCTAACTAATCTTTTACATTTGTTGAGCTGAACATGTGTTTCTGGCTGTGCAGTTTATCAGGGGAGGGTTTTCCATGACTATGACAAGATGGTTTAGACAATGTGGATCCCAGGAAAATGTAAATTATTCTTTATACTGTCTAATGAAAGGGTGAATTAAATTAAAAAAATAAATTATTGACATAATGCAGTATCAAAAAGAAAAGATAAAATGGAAGGTCAGAAAGTAAGGACACAACATTTAGAAAATGTAACAGGGAGTAAGATATGAAGTTACAAATATTCTTCTACTTCTACTAATATTACTTATCCACACCTGGAAAACATTGAAATAGGAGATTAAACCAGGCTGAGAGCTCTTTTTGGATATAAATTGGCATAGCAGGTTCATTCAATTTTAGTAAGATGCTTGGCAACAAAGATACCTGCGAGTCATTTGCACTTGAATGCCGTTGAGTGAAAATGATAACGCAAGTGTCCAATAAGGAAACTGATCACAGTTTCAGTAGTTTCAAATCAGGTTTTTTCTGATTCCTGAAATCTTGGTAAGTGGAACGGTATGTTTTGACACAAAGGTTTTGCTGTAAAACCAGAAGAAAAACAAAAGCAAACAGCTTCCTGATTGAACGTAATACAGCGATGACAGGTTTACAACTTGCTGTTTATTTTTCCGCAATAAAGTCAGTGAGTAAAGGTAAAGTAAACCAGAACTACATCTCTGCAGTGATTTAAAACATTTTCAGATTCTCCCACAGCTGAGATGACGAACGATAAGCAGTGCTTACCTTTTCTTATCAAGAAAGAGCTGCAGCAAAAAATTTTAATGGATAACAACTTTGGAATGTGGCTTTCAAAACACGAACTAGAAAGAGTAAAAAAAAAAAAAAAAGATACACCTCTCCAACATCCAACCCTAGACGCTCACAGGGGGGTGGAATCTGAAATGACAGGTTGTGGGTGGGGAGGTAGGAGTTAAAGTATCACTACCAATCTGCCACAAGGACACAGAGGAGACTCGACGACCCAGCTGACTCAAACAGGTGAGAGCACAGTCTAACCCAAAAGACTGGCCTTTTTTTTCCCCCACAGTAGATCTGATCTCGTCTCTCTGACTTGTTTGTGCGGCCAGGCCTCATTAGAAAGTCTAAATTGGCTTCGTTTTCAATGCATAGCAAATTTGACCTGGTTAATTGGTGCTGGCAGATCCTTATTTAGATTCATTATAAGAGATTAAAAACGAAGCACAGGTCAAAATGTTAACAGCGCCTCAGAGGGAAGACAGAGAAGATGCGACAAGATCTGACAATGTAAATAAAGGTCAAGGTAGATATCTGAGAGGAGATGGTAAACAGATCATACACTTGTTGATGTCAAGTTGTGGTCAGGGTGAAACTTGTTAAATAGCAATTCGTCATTTCTTTCGATGCAGGTTGACGATTTACAAGTCGCGGCTCATTAATCAGCTCAGGACAAACGTACAGAGTACATCAGGTTGAGTTCATTTAATCTCATAAGAAAATCTCCTCAGGACAAACGTCGGGAGAAACATCATGTCAAAAGGCAAGTCACTCAACGTTTAGGAATGTTTTTTTAGACAAATTATAAATATTTGCCATTATCGAGTATTATGGTTTGTATCTTTTAGACATTGACAGAAATCAGGTGCTGCAAAACATCAGGGTACGAAAAGCAACCAGGAAGGACGGCTGGTGGATCCATGGTTCTAACAATGACATGTGAGTAAAGTTAAACCAGTAATTTGCTGCTAGGCTGCAGGATAACTAAGCAGGCAACAAGATGGTTCATTTGTCCAACTTTGTAACAGGAATACAAGTTGTAGAAATTATACGTTAGAAGTGATAACAAAAACTTCTCCTGTCCCTTAGGGTAGTTTCTGAAACGAAACAGGAACCTGCGCCAGCCACAAATAATTCACTGGTCCAGTCAAGGATCAAAAGATTCCAGTGAGTAACACAAAAGCCGCTCAGCTATAGCTAAAGATCTGATCCTATCCGCTTATTTTAAAAATAATACCACATGTATAACATCTAACCAACTTGATTAACCAAAGTTACCCAAAGTATTAGGTTGTAATTAGTCATTTTTTCTAGCACCTTTTCTTCCTCTTAATGTTTCATTATTATTTCTAGATACTGCACTTTGCAAAAAAACCTGCTTCTTGTTGTGTTGCTCAAGTTGACGTTGTTCCAAGTGTTGCATCACCCTGAAGTAATTAAAGTATTCCAGGCTTCAGGCCCAACTCACCGTCTCAGACTTTAACATACATAAACATTAACTTTGTCCATCAGCTGCTTCCCTACAGAGTGAAAGTGACCTGGACTTTAATTACTTCACATTGGGCTAAATATATACTGAACCATTTTCTGCCCTTAGGGAAAACCCATTTGCAGCAGAATAAACAACAAAATAATTCTTCTTAAAGCCTAAATGATAAATCACTGTAATTGTCAATGGTTTACCAACCTTGAACACTGAATGAGCACTGCATTTTAAATGGTAAACCGAAAAGCTTCAATTCAAAGCAAGTGATTGTGCGTTTACAATACAGAAATTCACAACAGAAAAGACAAGTTTTTGATGTGTGTGTGTGTGTGTGTATATATATGTGACTTTTCTCACAGCAATTCTGCTGTTTGACATGGTGTGAATAAGATCAATTATTTTAGCACCAATCCTTGTGTCAAGATGTGATCCACAGAGCCCCTACAAGGTTTATGTATATAATAGAGAGCGTATATATGTAGAAAGCTGCACAGTACTATTTTTATTTATGGCAACGGCTAACAAGGCCTTTCATAGAACTTGTAAAAGGTGCAATTTTTTTTCACGCACGCACACACACATACACACGTAAGTACATTTTTTAAAAAACATTTTATTTAAATTGTCTCCCTGAGAACATGCTATTGGGTCCATCCTTCTGTGGTAATAGCAAATGGAGCATGCAGTGTTCGGATACATTCATTTAAAACACTTAAATTAAGAACAAAATACTGTGGTAGATTTCAATTGGAGAAAAAATAAAAAATCTGAAAAGTTGCAAAGCGCACATTTGCTAACTCTCAAATAACCCCTCAGTTGGGTCAGCTCTTCCTCTGGTGATGAGGATGAGGTGGATTATTATACCGCATCATGTGTCGTGTTGTTGCCACCGCATCCGAGCAGCCTGAGCCGTGGCAGCGCCAGCCTGAGCGGCTGCATTCAGAGAGAGGAGACTTGAAGATCTGCTTGACCAGCCCGCCCACTGACAGCTGAAGAGGCTGCATCTGTAATTATGACTGCAGACGTGGGATGGCACATCTGTCAGCGCGGCTGCAGAGTTTTAGCTGCTAAATAACTGGCTGTGACACGTTACGTTTGCGCCGGTTGCGATATGAAGCAGCCGACAGTTAAGTTTCTGCAGTGGACGTTTGACCTCGTGTCGCTTTGTTTAGAAGCTTTTGAAACATGTTGGAGGCTGTGTGTGTTTGTGCGTTTTAAATTTAAATAATAGTCAAATCAAAAACCCAGAAGAATCGGGGACCATAAGGGAGAAAAACGTTAGAAAACTAGAGTTTCTCTGCTCTTTAGACGTACAGTGGAGGCCACATTTATTGGTACAGATGGGTAAAAACCCTTGAATTGGATTCACGCAATAGGAAAACATTATAAAAAACAAATAAATATTTAATGTGACCGCATCCATTCAGTGAGAGAGAAAAAAAAAATCACAGAAGGCCACAATTACTGGCACCCCTGCTGTTAACTCTTTACCTCATCTTTTACCAACACTGAGCTTTCTACCACAACATCTCCCCTTAAACTCACATCATGCATAGGATTCAATTTTAGGAAGAGAGATGGAAAAGAAATGATGTAGTTTGTGCTGAACAGTTTTTGTGTTGGTTTGGTTTTACACTGCAAAAACAAGAATTCTTGATCTGGTTTCCAAATACTCTTGAAATAAGACGAAACTCACTAGCAATAACTTTTCAGCACAAAATAGGAGCTTGTTTTAAGTCAATAAATCCTTAAGATTGATTTAAAAGTACTAGACATTGTAACTTATGATATGGGAAAAAAGTCTTATTCCACTGGCAGATAATTTCACGTATAGCTAGTACTTTTTCACCAATATTAAGGAATTATTTACTTTTAAAAAGCTCCTATTTCTTGCTGAAAAGTTAATTGTAAGTTAGTTTTGTCTTATTTCAATCGTATTAGAATATTTGCAATTAAAAAAAAGACTAGGTGTTGTATTTTTGGACCCATTATCAGTTTCTTTGATGCTACGCACTCTGACAAGGTTTCCAAGCCCTTTGACAGTGAAAATGACCCACAGCATGACAGATCCTCTGCCGTGTAGGCTCAGTCTTAGTCTCATCTGAAAAAAAAAAGCACAACTCCCAGCAGAGTTTACGTTTTAGATAGAAGGACAGAAAAGGCTTTTTTCTGGCAAGCATGCAAGCAATTGGCTTGCAGATAGTATGTAATTGTTGTCATGGAGACTCTGTGACCTTAAAATGTCACTCTGCTGCAGTTTTCTTACAGTAACACTGTAAGCTGCAGCGTTTCTTGGCTTATGAAGAATGCTATCTCGTCTGTTGCACTGTGTCACATACAAGCAACAAAACCTACATAAAAATGTAAAATACATTAAAAAAAACATTTTGTTGAGAATGGCCAATTCTTGATGGCGTAAAGAAATGTATTCCGATTTAAATGGTGATTTTCTTAGTTCTTAGCCACTGCAGCAAAAATGTATCTATTAAAGGTGTTTTGTTTTTATAGTTTTCCAAGAGGTGCCAATAAATGTGGCCGCACTGAATTGTCCCAATTTACCTTAACTGGCTGGGAGGTAAAGTAGTGAAGCATTGTAACATTGGCATTGAACACAACGCAGGAAACTAATTAAATATCAACACATCCCTTTATTCTGGCCGGTGGATAAACAGAGCGTCCTGCATGGAAGTGGTGCGGCGTGACGCCCCCACAGGACCGCAAACCCACTCGGCATCTTAATGAGCGGGACTAGTCTGAGTTGATTGGGTTTGGCTGAATTATGCGACCAGTCACGGTTTCCTCAGGAGGACCGACCCTGCTCACCTCAAAGGTACAGACAGTTTGATGAATTGGTAATGAGCTAGGAGGAGGGTCCAGGTGCTGCGAGCTCCGCTACAGAGTGCATGCCTTCTGCCGATTTTAACAAGGACTCGCCAGCAGCGGGGTCGATGCTGTGTGAAGGCATTAAATGAACCTCATTAAGCGCGTAGTGGTTAAGCGGAAAAATGCCACATTTCCTAAAACCTTCCTTCACAATCCGGACACCTTCCTCTTCCTTTGCTATCTGATACGTTCTGTTCAACACCCCCGAGAACTCCTTCTTGCTGACGGCGAAGTGGCCGTCGGCGTCGCCGTCCCCGGTGAGCGAAGCGAAACGCTGCTTCAGGACCACGAAGAGGCTGGTGTCGAGAGGCTGCAGGATGTGCGAGCAGTGGGGAGGCAGGCAAAGGAGGATGACGCCCTCTTTCTGGGCCGACTCCACCACCTCCAGGCTCACCGGCGACTTGTGGCCGTCAAAGATCAGCAGCAGAGGACGCTCCTTTGCCGCATGGAGGAGAAAATGTTTGAGGAACCACTTCTTAAAGAGCTCTGAGTTGACGTAACCAGATTCCGACCACCCATAGAGGGCGTTAGGTGGGCCTTGCGTCTTGTAGCACACTCCTCCTGGATAGGCCTTGGAGTAGATAACAAACGGAGGAATGTCTTCTCCAGCTGCGTTGAAGCAAGCCAGGACAGAGACGTGGTCCCTGGGGCTTGGCGCTGGCTTGTAGCCCAGACTCGTGGGCTTAGAGAGGACGGCCTTCCTCCTGCCCAACTGGTAGCCCGTCTCGCTACAGTTGTAGATCTGGCTCGGCGAGTCTCTGAGCCCGTGTGTGTCTTCGACCGTGCTCAACAGACGAAAGAACTGATCCACCGCTTCCTTCCTGACACACACTGTCCTCCCACGCACAACATTGTCTGCTGGCTGAATAGTAATGTTCTTTTCTTGCCTCTTTCGAAAATTGAGCCACCACGTCTGGCCGAGTTTGGAAAATGCCACCCTCCGGTGCTGCCGCTTATAAATGGACGATGCGAAGGACACTACCTGCTGCTTGGTAAGTGGGAATCCATGCTCGGACATGTATAAGGAGAACTCCACCAGCAGCTTCTCGTCTGCGGAGGTGATGAGCCGAGCCGGCCCGCTGCGGCTCCCCGGTGTCACCCGTCCACTCACTCTGTCTCCTAGCGAGGACTTGGGGACGCCAAACTCCTTGGCCGCCTGCCTCACCGTGCACCTCCCAGACTTCACCTCTATCAGCGCTCGCTCCATGGCCTCCTCCGTCCATTTCTTCTTTTTCTTGCGCCCAACTTTGTCAAGATGGTTTCTGGACGGCATTTTCTTCTAAACAGACAGGCAGAGGAAATTCAGGCTTTAAAGATTCACTTCAAAATTGTGAATTAACCAATATAAACATCATTTAAGGTACTAAGGAATTTCACAAATTCCTTAGTACATACAAGTGAATAATAAAATAAAAATATATGGTAATTTATACTTTTGGTATTTAAGCAGGGATTTTCCCGGTGTATAATAAGCCTGGCGGGCCACCAGGCTTTACTTGTGCCCCCACCAGGCTAAGCATTGCTTATTTAAAGACTTTTTAAAATGTTTGCATTTTTTAAGGATTTATCATTGAAGTTCAAGGATTAATCTTCCAAAAACACCTAATTATCACGTGATGTTTTCAAATTTCCTGTCAAATTTAAACATTTTTTAACTTAAAAAGACGACGGGCTGCTGGATGATTGACTGCCTGGCACCCAACCACTGGACTTAACAAGTTTTCTGGGGGAAACCTTGTTTAAGATGATTCATACTTTCATTCTTTCTCTAATCATTATAATTTCCATAAATAACAGTAATGATGAAACTTAACATTTTAAAAATGAAAAATGACAAACGTAAGAATAATAAAAGTATTTAACTGGTGATGAAAGCACTTTCTTGAAGCGAGAAGATTATTTTAAGTCTGTCAACCTCTCTTACTATTTTCACAAACCTTTTTAAGAAACAGGAACAGGTTTTGACTGAGGGTAACAAAGTGGCTTAAGATCCAATTTCAAACCTATTCTTCTTGACTAATTATTTTATTGTGTGTTGACAGAACACTTCATCTCTTGAGTTCAGGAGCTTTTTTATGTCTGAATAATTCATAGGTGAGAGCTAAGTGACTCACCAAACAAACTAGGGCTGCACAAAATTAGGAAAACATTATGGTAATATTGTTGAAAAGTGCAAAGAGAATATCCATTGCACTTACCCTCCTTCTCTTCCCATAATAATTTTCTGTCACTTTTCATCTGCTTCAGTAGCTCAGTTACTTCCACAATAAAGTAGGACAATCCATAAAATATTCAATTCCACAGAAATATTCACATACCGATCGATGTCTTATCTGTTTTTTTTTTAATTGTTATTCTTTATTTCTGCAAAAGAGAGCGATTTAAATAGGCGAACATCACAATTAACCTTGTAGCACTGATTGAACAAAAGGAAAAAATATATTTTCTGTAACAGTATAAATGTTAGGACACCCACCCACCTAACAGTTGATGTTTTCCCCCCCTTCAGTTTGAAATAACTTCAGTGAGATGCTTCTTGTAACCACCTATCAGTCTCTGACATCAGTCTGTGGAAAGTTTGCTCCATTCCTCACTTTCAGTGATTAGTTCGGGGGGTTCTGGCTTGTTACAGTCACCCATCAGCTTCTCTCTGAGATTAATATCCGAGTTCAATTTTGCCCAGGACTTTTCATTTCCTGATTCTGAACTAAACCTTGGAGGAGTTGCAGTACGTTTTGGGTTATTGTCATGTTCCAAGGTCCAGATCTGCTTCTTCCTAAAGTTTTGGACAGATTCTTGAAAGGACTCAGTGATACAATGAAGAACTTATGGTTAACTATGTGATGGCAATGATTGCAGCAAAGCATACTTCTAAGCTTTAACTGGTTTATGCCAAACCTGTCCTCCGTTCTGGTGCCCAAATAATTCAGGTTTAGACTCACCCAGAGAATTTTTATTTTTGTATTTTTTACAGAAACCCTGGTCTGCATCTAAATTTCAGGCAGGACTTTGCTTTCTTAAAGACAGCAACAGTTTCCCCTGCACACCTCTCCTGTTCAATATCTTTAGTCTTTTATAACACCAAATGTTTTTAGTCATAAAAGCTATAAGAAAGGCTGGTTTGATCAGTGCTGTGTCTAAATATAATATTTACAACAGGGGACCAATAGTACATGTTCCACATTTATGGAAAGGGCTCACTCAGCTGGCCTCATTCTACAAAATAGTTTCCTTTTGTAACATTTATAAGATTTATTTAGTTTTAAAAAAATCAAACAGAAATACACGTTAGTGTAATTTCTTTAGTTTTTAAACTAAAACGTTTAATTTAGTTCATGTTTATGAAATATCTCCTTTTTTCTGGCACTAAACATTTTATTTTGTAGCAGCTGAGGCAAAACTGGCTCTGAACTAAAAGGGTTGGTGACTACTTCACGGACATCGGAAGACGGAAATTTCAAACGCTTCTTTTTTCTTATCTTCTGTTTTCAAGACCTAAATAGAATTTTATACGTTCTAAATTTGGTTTGAAAAATATTTAAATGTGCTTTATTTGTATGTTGTTGTTTTTTTGACAATATACACTGCATAAAGCAGTAGCGACAAAATCGATTCTCCTTAACTTTTAAGAGCCTGAAAGCATCAAAATACACATGCAGAGACTCCAGTGAGATTCATGATGGAGACGTTCAACATTTGAAATTATACTTTTACTTATATATATTTTCTGCAACAAAGACGTCTTCTTGCGACTCTAAAATTGTCAAAGCGTACTTACGGGCCAGGAAAGATCCTCGTAATATTCTTATCTGAAGATAATTTCTCCTGTGTTGGTTTCTCCGTGATGAAACGTGAACGCTGCTGTTCGTGAAGTACGATGCTGTGCAGTCTGAAGGCTTCTGAGGTAGTTTTGAAGTTGACAACATAATAGTTACAGTTTGTTCATTCAATACTAACCGCTACTTCATCTCCCAGCTCCAGAGACACAATAAATAATATATTATATAGCAGGAGTAGAGCCATTTCTTCTTCCCCTAGCTTAAGACTGCTACAGCAAGGAGCGCAACCGGAAATAAAGTTGGGTTATTTTCAAAACAAAAGTACTAAAGCGACCATTACCAAAATAAGTGCCCAAAACTTCAGAAATTAAAAAGTAAAATCAATAGGAAAATATTTTCAAATTCAGAGTTTATTTTGTTACATTTTATTTAACCTATATAATTAGGTTGGATATTGATTATATTTTATGTAATTATTTAGAAGAATTAACACAATACTTTAGATTTAATACATATTTGCGTTCTACTTATTTTCAAAAATTGTTTAATTGTGTTTTTATTTCTGATGTTTTTAAACCATTATTTTATTAATTAAGCTTTTCTCGCATGTACTTTGTCACATGAAAAAAATATATTTAATGTCTGTCTTTGTTTATTTATTGCTTATATTTTTGAAATAAAACTTAAACAATTCTAGTTTAAATTCATTTATAGTTAACAGAGAACATTAAAGCAAACAAGCTTTAATGAACATTAAAGCAAACAAGCTAGTTAAACTTGAGCAGGTGATAAAGTGGTTTCTATATGTACACCTTTTACAATGTCTTTGAATCCAATGATGGAAAACTGCTGATAAGCAGTATGACGATTGAAATTCTTGGGTGAAATCCAGGTTTTACTCTGTTTCTTTTTGCTGTAAATAAATAATTTAGTTTGGTGTATTTTTTTTTGGCAGGAATAACTTTCTGTACAGCTTTGCATTGTGTTGGAGACTTGTCTTATTATATATGCTCTATAGAGTGTCCAGCATATTGATTTATTGATTCCCCATGTTTGCATGTCTCAGTTGACTGTTAAAAAGCATCATCAAATGAGACATTTTTCCACTGTCTTCTGATATATTGTTACATAAAGAGTAAGCCATTCGCTTCTGTGGCTTTATGATGCTTTGTCCGCATTTCATTCAAGCTTTATATCCATAGTGGGTAGCCGCTACTCATTTACCACTCTCCTCTCCTGTTCCACAACATGTCCTGTGAGAATTAAGCTGTGAACAAACACAGTGATGATATTTAAAGCAGAATTTATTAGTTATGGAGCTCATATACTCACTGTGTTTATCTCTCAGAGCAGATTCTTTGTGCATATTTCTTTTGCAAATATACATCACTACTTGGCTTATATTGTAAAAGAGACTACATTATATGTCCTGAAACCCCAACAAATACACAAAAACGTCGACTGTGTCTGGCAGTAGAGCCTTTAAATGTGATTGCAGTTTTGAGTTGGTTTGGACCTCATGGAAATGTTCCAGAGATTCGTAATATGAGGTTTGAAGTGACAAAGTTCACCTTCGGTTGTGTTTTTTACTCTGACCTTTTAACATCAGACAGCGTACCGTATGCATTGAATTTTAATTCAGAACAAGCTGTGCAATGTGAGTCGGTTCCCGTTGTGCATCTTCAAAATCCCGTTTTAAGGGATGATGAGAATTTGTTGATGAAGTTCTAGTAAAGATGTAAAACATTATTTTATTGGCCTTTAAGCTCTCTTTATTTTGCATTAGGTGGTTATTTATTAAGAAGACAATTATTATTGTCATTCATGGGAGGTAGAAGGCAGTGTGCCTTTTTCTTGTGTAAAATCACATACTGAAAACAGAACGTGGTCAAGCATTTCCAAATGGAGTAACTCTCTTGTATAAAATTAAAATAAAGCAAAAAACAAAACAAAAAAAAACAAAAAAAACAAACAAAGATCTATAATATTTTTGCTTTCAATTCCATTTTACTTATAATTCTGTTTTCAGTTTGTGTTTCACACAGGAAAATGATTGGTGGTGCACCACCTCCAAGCTCCATTTCCTGTGTAAACATATTTGGCATCTCGGCAAAGATAAATGAACCATGAAAACAACTCAGGTTCATACAACAGCATAAATAGATATGAAGTGTTGTTTTAAATGACTGAAGTCTGCTTTGGTCTTGGCTCCTTGTGGATTAGCCATTAGCTTTAGCCTCTAGATTCATGTAATCTGGATTTATGCTGGAAGAAAAGATGAACCCTAAGCCCTCAGTATACAGCAGATAACTCTTATAAAGTCTACATGTAGTGAATGATCAGATAAACCTATATATAGATATATATAGATAGATATCACAAAGGAAGATGCTTGATTATTTGCCTCCTTTCATAACTTTCTATTTACATATTTATTCATTTCTTTAAAGATAATCACCAAATGTAGATGTGAAAATGAATTAGATTTGCTAAATTGCTTTTCCATAAACCTCCATGATGTTTTTTCAGATCATCATCTTGAGTTAAGATGATGAAATTCTGCTTTCATCTTTGCTTCTCTCTAGTGAGCTGTAATCCAAACTCCCAGTGTACTGAACTTTAAAATAAGGTTCCAGGTTTCTCAGCTTTTACTTTTACAGTAAATTGTCATTGATGCTATCAGATGAATTTTTCTGAACGTTGTCTTTCACCTTTTTGTTGTAGGCTTCCTGCTAATCAGACAAACAATGAAGCTGATTCTATTAAACCCGATGATTCGACCGAGGAAACAAGAAAAAATACCACGAGAAATACAAAGTTAGTATAGAATATCTTCTTTTTAACTGTGTTTGCAAAAATGCTGCATATCTACTGTATTCTTAATTATGAACAAATATCATGCTATGTTACAGATGCCAATCACCATCCAAACAGGCACAAGAGCAACAGCCAGTCATAAACACAAACAATGAAAAGAAGGAGGTGGAATTAAAAGCGCCAGCTGGCGAGTCCAATGTGGAGCAGAACGGGGGGGATGTTAAGGTCTCTGCAGATGTAAAAAATGAAGAACAAATCCAACCAGCTTCTTCAACAAATGGTAACGGTGATGCAGCAGAACCACCACCTGCCCATAAAACTGCAGAAGTCAAAGAACAAAACCCTGACACTGACCCTACAAATGTAGAGGATCAGGTTTCCAGTGATCTTTGGGTGAAATCAGGTGCAACAGGCACTGCAGAGATTCCTGCTACACCTCAAGAAGCTTTGATTGAAACAGACACAAGTAGTTTGGAGGATGGAGGGGAGACAGCATCCACGCAAACTACAGAGGAAAGTCGAGAGAAATCCCCGCTACCTGCAGAAGAAATTGTACCCGCTGCCTCTCCGTTTATTGTGAAGGAGTTGCCGGAGAACACTGCTACGCCGGACGAACACATTCCTCCTCAAGCCAGCGTGGAACCTAACGTGCAGTTTGAATCTGTAAGCAAGTCACCTGCTCAGCCTGGAAATGAAACACCTGCAGAGGCCAGTTGTGAAAAACATCCCCCAGAGCAAGTTGACAACGAAACTGTTGAAGCTGAGGCTGAGCCGGAGGTGGAAACCCCCGATGTTGATAATGCAACACCTCGTGAGGAGGCTCCTCCGCTTAACAGCGTGCAACCAGTCGCCTGTTCTCTACCCGAGTCACACGATGAAATCCAAGCAGCTGACAGTATTGTTGTTGAGCAAAGTGTCGAGCCGTCGTTTGGAGATGAAGTACATTCCTTGGACTTGAACATTGAAGATGCTCTTAAACCTGTACCGTCTGCAGATCCTGAAGCTGTCCAGGATAGTTCAGATTTCAGACCCATTGATTTGACAGATGCCCTGCATGTGGAGGCACCCCAAAAAGAATCCGTTCCTAAAACTGAAGCTGAAGAACAGCCTCGTCGAGAGGAACCTGATCCCCAGCCTGACGATGCCAGAGTGTAAGCATGCTTTCACAAATAGTAGGAACATGACAATAAAACACTTCATATTTATTGATGGTTTTTTTAATTTAAAATAGTTCTGAAGGCCTTCAGAAGCCTGCAGAAGAACTAAATTCAACCCAGCTTCCTAAAATATCCAGGTGGGTTTTCAATAGCTCATGTTGCATCTCTAAGCTTTAGCATTCTTTATAGAAAAATATGAGGTGTTAAAGTTATAATTAACACTGGAAGCTTTACATTGTGAGGTAATTCAATGTTTCCACATTTATTTTAGCGATGGAACCCCTTTTTGCTCTTACTGCAACAAAATAATTGATGGGAGAGTGAAGATCATTTTGAACGAACCGCCTGTGGTATGCCATGAAGAATGCCTCAAGGTTTGCATTTCTTTGCATATTTGATTTTCTTAAAATACAAAGTATTCATACCCGTAGAATTTTTAAAATATGTCATAGGGTTATAACCACAAACTTTAACGTATTTTATCGTGATTTTATTTCATAGGCTGCACAAAGTAAGCTAAAACATTCTCCACACAATTTTTGATGTAATTACAACCGCAAGTATTTTGGGGGTATTTCTTTACTTGCTTTAAACATCTAAAAACTAGTTTGGGCTCATTTCTATTTTCAAAATAGTAAGCTATTTTGGGTAAAGGGTGTCTAAATATACTGCTCAAAAAAATAAAGGGAACATTTCACTTTAATTTTGTGTGTGGCTCCAAATCCAGGCCTCCATTGGTTAATAAATTTGATTTCCATTGATGATTTTTGTGTGATTTTGTTGTCAGCACATTCAGCTTTGTACAGCACAAAGTATTCAATGAGAATATTTCATTCATTCAGATCTAGGATGTGTTATTTGAGTGTTCCCTTTATTTTTTTGAGCAGTGTATAATTTTTTGAGTCTTGCTGCCCATTCTCAAACCAATTTAGGTCCTGAATTTTACATAATATGTTTCGGTGAGAGATATTCCATCGTAGCTCTGAGCAGCACACCTGACAAACTTACTTGTCCTTGCTAAAGAAAAGCATTACTACAGCATGATACTGCAGTCACCACGCTTCACCATGCATGCCTTAGGGTGTCGTTTTACTGTTAGTACTCTCAAAGATTTCCTGTCATTCCAAAAAGTTAAAATTTTGTTGTAATCAAACCAGGAGGCCATCTGACACACGTTTACTAACCCGGTGGTTAATTAGGTGACCTCTGATTAAAACTGGTTGCAATGCATGCCACACATATCTGACTTTTACTTGCAAAACATTTTTGAACCATTCATCTTCTTCCCTCCACGCTCAATTAAACACTTACTTTGTGTTGATCTGCAGCATAAAATCACCATAAAATACGTTGAGATTTGTGGCTAGAAAAGGACAAAATGTTTAAAAGAGGAAAAGGCATTAATACGGTTTTCAAGGCAGTGTGTGATTGAAATAATAACGCTTATCATTACTTAATGTTAACTAATGTTTGTGTGTTCTGCAGTGCGACGTTTGTGCTAAGGCCCTGGGAGAAATGCCGATCACCATGTTCTTGCTTGGCAAAGTGATCCACTGCCTAGACTGCTTCGCAAACGCGCTTAATTTTTGAATTCTGCTGGCGAAAAATACTTCCTGTCACCAAGCTCACAGTGAATAATGTGCTCTCTGAGAACCTCCCCGGTTTTGCCCTTGATCTGTACACTGTTCTACCGAATGTTTCCTTTCACTGAAAAGGAGGACATGGTGTGATGTGACGTTTAAAAATCGAGCAAATAAAAAGAAATGTACACACTGCTAATTACCACAGATGTTTGAATGAAATGCTCCATAATCAGCATAAATTATTTTAATGCCATGTACAGGATGTGATTAAAATAAAATTACAATCAAATCCCTTGGATCAAATCAATCATTTAATTAGCCTCAATTACAAATAAGCACACACAACACTGGTCAGCTTCGGAGCAGTTATTTAAATATCGACCTCTCTGTTGCTAATTTTAGGTAATCGTGAAGACAGTTCCTCACGTTTAAGAGAAACAAAAATAAAACTAAAACGCACAGCAGATTTCTTCTGAAGAGAGAAGCTCCAAGAGAAACTTTGGTACATTCAGCTTCACCTGCTTTAGACTCGTGACGCTCATGGGCGAGTTGGAGATAATAAGGCAGCAGCAAAAATTATATTCAGAAACCAATATCTGCACCAGTAAACACTGTACAGGAAGCACACAGTTATGACTTGCAAAGCAAAGCTGTCGTTGCTCTTAATTATTCATGAAACATCATCCATCACAATCAGCTCCAGCAAAGCCTCACAGAGCGAATTAAGAGAGAGAAAGAGAAAGAGAGCGAGAAAGAAAGAGAAAGAGAGGCAGAATGAACAACAAAGCTAAGAGAATCATCTGAGAGGATGACTTGTGAAACAGGTTGGGGCTCATTACGGTGGGTGAATTATCTTCCTCTCTTTGTCTGATGTTCATACATAACAGTAAAGAGAAACATTTGTCTGTTATCTGGAAAAAAGAACAAAGAAAAGAAAAAGGACGGCAGATGATCCAGGTTTGAAAAGTTTCTGTTTCAAGAAGGCAGGACTAAAACCTGGAGTTGGACGAGTATCTCATAGCCAGATGTGAAGCACTTAGCGAATTCCTTTCCTGCCCAGGAACCGCAAGACTGCGTAGTTGTAGGTGGTGGGAACCAGATACAGAATCTGAAAGAAGAAAGGCAAGGCAAGGACAGACATGAAACAGCATTAATATTCTACATACTGAGAGTGTATAGTGTTCAGTAAAGAGAAACTGAGCGAAACAGAGACACTGCAATATCTTTGGTTCCAGATGGTTAGAAAAAGAAATGTGGATGCTTTCTACTCAAAACTTCAAAAATTGATTGGAGTATTGTTCTTGATGCCTGCGGCAATAATCAGGTTTAAAGCTTCATTATTATTTTACATAGTCTACTTGGAAAAAATCTAAAACAGGAACCAGATGAATTAGAGAACAGGTTTCCAACTGAAAAGCAAAGTCACGCAGGGGAAACAGCAGCGCAATTTAGAGAGGTCGACTAACCTAAAATGCATGTTTTATGTCTGCGAGAGGAAGAGTGAGTACCTAGAAAGATCCCACGCATGAATGGGGAAGACATTCAAACTCCATGCAGAAAGGCGCTGGCCTGGATTCAAGCGCTCAGACCTTCATGCTGCAGGGTATATGACCTTGTTTACTGAAGTAGGTCCAAGATACATTTATAGTTCCTGGGCCTAAAAGTGAGTGCTTCAAACTCGAAACTCTTAGTGATATTTGAAGTCATATGGAAACACTTCTTGAATTGTCAGGTTCTGTTGACAGAACCAACTAACAAAGACTGTCTGGCAAACTCTGCCTGACCAGACTTCGCTATAAAACAATAAAGAAGCCCGGCGCTCCATCTAAACAGTAACAGAAAGACAAGATATGACTGATTTTTAAGCACTGTGATAATGGACTAACAGCTGGCAATGAAGCCAAAGTCAGCATCTGCTTCAGACATCAGATTTAAATAGATTTAAATCCCATTTAAATCTAAAATACTGATCAAAAACAAGAACTGTATAAGTCTGTTGAGATTAAGAGTGAGATTACGATGAAACCTGTGTTACATTTGTAAAAACATAAAATATAAGCATCCTCAGAGATATTTTTTTATCAGTATGACTGTGTGGCATTTGGTGAGCATAAAAAACAAAACATATAAACCAGCTATAAATGTGCAATAACTTTCTGGAGTGATTAAAGAAATTGGAATTATTAGTTTCCCCCTGAATTTTGTTCATTTTCATCAATCAATCAATCAATCAGGTTGATCTGTATAGCACCATTCAGCAACAAGGCAGTTCAAAGGGCTTTACATCATAAAAACACAACAAAATCATAAAAACAGCAGAAAGCAGTGAGAAACATTTATGTTTACAAAAAATGCCATCATCAAAATCTTCAATACACATCAAATATGTTGGTTAATGTTCTACTTATTATTGTTCAAAATCAACTCCAGCAACTCCAAACAGGTGAGTTTTAGTCTTGATTTAAAGGAAGTCAGTGTTTCAGCTGTTTTGCAGTTTTCTGGAAGTTCGTTCCAGATGTAGTTACAACCCTGCCATTTACATAGAGGTTTCTATGAAGACAGCTGTGGTCCACAAATCATAACAGTGACCAGCCCAGATGAAACACTTCAAAAGAGAAGGCATGGAGCAAACGGGTTAACTGTCTCTCAAGGCTAAATATGTGTAACAACAGAAACGTTGCAGCAAATCAAGTGAGTATTATTGTCTTTGCCCTCTCTTGATAGCATTTGCTTGAAAGTATATCTTTGATTCATCAAAATGAAAATGCTAAGAGAATCGTTTACCCTAGTAAGATACAGATTACTCTTAATGTCTGTACAATACACCACTCTTTAACAATAGAGAGACTCTGCTTTACATTTTAAGCAAAATCAGTAAGATAGTGAGTCCTTACCAGCGCCAAAAGGGTGACTCCAGCCCCTGCAAATGTGGCTATGTACAAGTCATAGGTGGTATGGAACTGTAAGAAGCAACAAAAACAATTGGTTCGGCTTATATTTAAATAAAGACTTTCTCACAAATGCATTCCAAGCATGCAGCATCAAACAAACATGAGTGATCCCTTGACAATAACTCACTTCGCTGGTTTTGCAAATAGCCACCAAGGTCATTCCACAGGACTTGCCCGGCATCGCATCCCAAGGAAGCAGACCTGAAATGAAAACATGACGTGAGCGAGGGCTCTCCAGCTAATGCTGAATCATGACAGGGCCGTGATGCATGAACGCTCCGTTTTACACGCAGCAAGTCAGAGACACAGCGATGAAGAATTATCTCCATCGTTTCATAGCAAATTCAACCATCAGTCTCATGGCCACTCCCCGTCGATTAATCCCCCTTGCTCCCAAGGACACATTAACACGCTCATTGGTGGGAGGGGGGATGCAGCCAGTCATTGTAGGAGAAACCCACCATACTGCCTTGCATCCATGCAGATCCAGCTATGCTGATTAATGCTGGGGGTGGTTTCAGCCAGGATGTTGATGTTGTGGCAGGTGTGCTCCATGTTGAACAGAAAGAAGACCGGGATGGCCGAGAAGGCAAACACCGCCAGCCAGATGAAGGCCAAGATGTATGTGACTATAATGAACTGTTGAAACAAGAAGGTTATAGATTAGTTGCCTTCAGGCACTCAGGTGCCGGCATGAAAAATGTGTTTTCGTTCAAATTGGTCATCAACCATAATTAATCATTCTGATGGGAGGGGGGGAGGAGATACAGGAACAAAGAGGGTTTCATTAACACAAACCAGCATTCAGCATCTCAACCTGACGTCATGTTCCTCCCCTACGCCCCCGCCTCCCCCGACTCACCGTCAGGCTGAGGCAGCGGCCACACTGGGTGCTCCTGAACTCCCCAAAGGTTTGCTTGACTGCACTTGTGGTGTAGAAACCCTCAGCCAGAAGCAGGATACCATAGAGGAAGAAAAATGATGCCAGCCCATAGATCACGAACTGGAAGTATTTGATACTGGGAAAGTTACAGGGGTTGGGGAAAGTCAGTCAAACGGAAAACGAAAGCAACATTTGAGAGCTCTTACGAACTTATTCAAGTATAACTCACAAAGATGCCATGACCTCAAAGTCCTTAGGGTCACGGGCAAAGTAAGTCTCGACGAGTTCCTCCGTCTGGGCCAGCGCCTCATGCCCACAGCCACAAAACAGGGCCATGCCGGCGTAGCACAGCAAGGTGGCCACCAGGGACGGGTAGGGCACTGCCCCAATGCACCGGATACAGCAATCATAACAACCTGAGGGGGCATAATATATCAGCACACAGGCGGCACATACCGCACATATAACCACACAACACATCAACGTCACTGCAGCGGGGGGTTCTTTCACTCCGTTGGGGAGCTATGAGGAAGGTCTCTCTCTGGCTGCACATCCATGAGCACGTGTCAAAACCCCCACAAAAAAAAGCAACAGAAAACAAGGAAGAAGAAACATACAATTAGACAGCAATAACAAACAAGAGTTCAAGCAGCGTCTTCCAACAAAGCGTCCAAACTAAAGCAGTCGCCGCCGCCGCCGCCCTCACAAACAGACTTGTACACGTCTTCCGGGTTAAGCAGTCGTGTTGAAGCGTTTAGCAAATATCCAAGGGGTTAATAATAAATGCATTGCCAGAAATTGGATAGAGAAAAGCACCTAAGGCTTTGCAAAGCCAGTGTTGTCTGACCGGAAACATTTGCTGCCTGTGATGCCGTGCTCTGCAACAAGAAAAGGTCCAGTACCAAGCAGTGATGTACAACGCTGCCTACGAGGTTACGCTACTGTACAAATATTGCGACGCTTCTGCGCTGATTTCATACGTATGTGACGGCTCTTCTGCTTGTGCCAACTCCTCACAGCTTAGTCCCAACTAAATCTGGCCCGGCCCCTCTCCCTGCGATGGTCACAGGCGTCACCGGGCCATTCAGGGATGGTGGTGAAACGCTGGCTTCACCGGGGGGCCCGAAGAAAGAGCTTCTCTTTGTGGTTCGCGGGTACAATATCCATTGTGTTCGGAGAGATCGGAGATGAACAAAGGGCAGTGATGTCAAACAAACAAAAGGCCATCATGACACCAGAAACGGTGTCGTGCGTGATGGCAGAAGGGGTCACCGGGACCGTTTCAGCACCACTGGCTGCGTGTGACTACTCCGGCTATCCACAGCTGGCTGAGGCTGGCACCGAGTGTCAGTGTGGGCAGGGGGCTGGGCTCAAAGGTTCAAAGAGTGGGTGGCAGGAAAACGAGCAGAAAGGGGGGCAATCCAAACAGTTTCCCAACAACAACAACAACAAGAT